ATATGGAGTATTTTTTCAAGAGAGATGTTTGTCAATCTCTCAATAGTATTTTGCTTAAATGACAAGCACACACTTGTTAACATCAATTGATTTGATAAGTCTTTAGTCTTATCATCAATGACAGGCTACAAGAAACATTGTCAAAGAAGCTTTCGGGGGAAAAGCAGTACAAGAACAACAAACCATTTTGGCCTTCAACTGCCCGTGTTTCAGTGTTACTTTCTATTATGAGTCAACTATTAAGTTCAGGACTAGAGTCAGCCAATGGTAAAACAAACCTGCTTACAGCTTAGTTTGATTTGCTCATATCTCTGTATTTTAGCTTCTGTTAGGGAGACAGAACAAGCAGGGAAAGGGATGGTGTGTAGCCAAAAGCCTGAGGAAAGACTACATAGTCCTATGTCTGGGTCACATCTCAAGTAGACATACCACTTATGCCAGTATTAATGGGCAACTCTCCTACACCAGTAACCTAGAAGGTATTATTTTTCTTCTACCAAGACAGCATGAGAGAAAAGCACAGAGGATGTGACTTGCTTCAGGTTGTAGGTAAGATGCTTCTGGCCACTGCTTAATTGTAGTCACTAAATACATCTCACCAAGAGCCTAGTTATTATGGGCTCTCATACTCACACTAGGGTCTTCAAAAACATGATTCAGCCAGCCTGACATCTGAAACTTGATGTTGACTCTCTCTGCAACATATATAAAAAAGGTGAGAGAAAAACCTGCAAAAATTAAGGAGTGCCAGATACATGGGATGACCACAGGCCAAAGCAGAGGGCGGAGGTGAAAACCAAGCTTCAGTGCTGCAGACAGCAGATTTCTTCACAGGACTGTTTTTTTCAGCTCTGGCCTTTCCAAAACCTTGTTGAATGCTACAGTCCTCATATGGTAAATGTAACAGTCCAGGTCTTCAGCATGAATAAAAATCAGCATCTCTTGAGCTTGGTAAGGATGCGAGAGTACTCAAGGATGAGAACTTCAGTGAGGATGGCTGAAACAGCACTTCATACATGCAGGGGAAACAAGGCATCACTCAGAACCTCTGAAACACCAAAGGAAACCACCTCTTCTACTTGACTGCGGGACAGAGGAGCAATGAAGCAGCCTGAACACCCATAATCAAGCCATCTTCCCCTTTCCTGTTACTACCTCAGAAGAGGGAAGACGGTTCATTTTCTACCAAAGCAGAAGCACAGCACAAAAACATAGAAACAAGACAGGCAGGAAGGACAAAAAAAAAAAAAAAAAAAAAAGGAAGGAAGAACAAAAAAAAAAAAAAAAAAAAGAAAAAAAATACCCTGGAATTTAAAAAGTGAAAGGAATTCAGAACCATTGCAGTGACCTGTCCGACCTAGGGAGTATTGGATATGGCAGACTGCAAACAAGACCAGCAGAGTATAAAAGGGTCACTGACTCCAGAGACAGCACTTCCATCCAAAAGCCTGGGGGTAACCTTTTGCAACAACAACAAAAAAAAAACACTTTTTTTTTTTTTTTAAGAATTACAGACACTGACAACAGCCAGATTAAACCAGCAGCGAAACAGCCAAGATCTTCATTTTCCTCAAAAACAATATCCCCAGCTTCACTATATCAAATCATGGCATACCTGTATTTTTTTTGCTTAATACAAAACAGACATTTTAAAGACAACTACAGAAAGAGATCTATCTCAAAGTACAATTGAACATTTCCTTCTGAAAGATTTCTTCTCTTGCAGTGTCCTTAACACTGTCTGTGCCATATTTCAGCACAACTAACAGACAGTGCTTCTCCATATTACAACCCTGCAGGCTTCTGTTTGTGTGTTTAGTCATTCCTCAGAGGCCTACTGTTGTTTGGAAACATTTACAACAATTAATTGCCCCTCAAGTTCCCAAGAGCAAATTTTTATCTTCTCAAACAAGGTGGGAATCAGGTTAAAGGCTGCAGGAAAATGACTGACCCGATACAAACTGTGAATGCTGCACTAGCCACCGTGACTCTTGGGATGGAAAGCCTACTATTAGTCGAAAAACAAGAGGATTAATTCAATTTTCTTACTGTGTATTAGTAAGCTAACAGAATGCTGTACGAGGAGAGGAAGCAACAGGCATATACTATGTTTTGTTAACAGCATGAAACAAAACAATTAATGTTTATTTTTTTAATAGCTAGCAAACTTACATTAATATTCAACTGCAGAGCAGTACGAAAAACAAGGGCCTCGATACTAGGCTGGTGTTAACTGTCAGGGCTGCTACAGTCTCCTGTTATGTACTGGGATATCAGCATATCTCCACTAATCCTAATTTAATCTCACATATGTTCTTAATCAGTTACCACTAAGAGAAGTTTTTCACCTGATGTCACATGGAACTGAAACAGTGTTGCTGATTGTTACAGTGACATAAAATAAAGGCAAAATCAGTCAAATTGAAAGGGCTGGCAAGAAACAGTTCAGAAGTGATTCAGTGAAACCTGGCTAGCCTCTCAAGGATAAAAGCTGTGGTATCACTGGTCACGTGCAGGGCTAGGCTCAAAAGAACTAATATTAATAACTTCAAAATGGGCAACAGCAATAAATCTCAATAAACCCCACAATGCCTGTGGCTAACAATGCTGTCACTTACATATGTGCATCCAAATCTGCTATGGACTATATTCCCTGGAGCAGGCAGTTTTCAGGAGCACCCTCTTTCCCCTGCGTCACACCAAATAACAGAGCCCAGTGGGACTCTAAGCAGTTCTCCTCCCTCTTCTTCCAGTAGTGCAATAAAGAGAACAAAAGGGAAAGGCAACGGAGCTGCTCTGTGATTCTTCCTGTGAACGGAGGAAAGATCGGAAAAGGCATTCAAAAGGAAGAGAGGAGGCAACAAATTAATGAGGAATGAGTTGTGTTGCATTTTGGCCAGTCAAAGCCAGGAATGGCACAGCTACAGCTGTGCCTAGACACAAGCATAAATGGCTGTTTCAGGTCCTTTCCATGCTACCTTTTACTTTTCCCCGCTGTTTCAACCAGTGTAGCTTAACTAGCCCTGGTGTAAGCCACTAGTGTTAAGTAGTAACGTATAAGCAAAATACACAAAAGGAGGATACATTTACAAGTCAAATACTGGGCATGCAGATGTTATACAGCTGAGAGCTACTAAAATGCCCTTCAGTTTTAAAATTGTTTAAAACTCAGTACGTTTCCTCACCAAAATTAATACCTGCTGTTTGTGCTGTAGCAGACAGAAGAACCTATTTAGCATAGTGATAATCATCAGCTGAGTTGTGTATCTAAGACTTTACTGCATCTGCTTCTCCAGCACTAATACAGGTTTCAGGACTAAATTACAGCTCAGCCGAACCTTGATCATCATACAAAGCACGCACTAAAGAACAACTCAAACATGCACAAACAAATCTTCATGTAATGTCTTGAGAAAAGCCAAAACTCACACAAACAAAGACAAACATAGCAGTGTCTGCTAGCATCAGACAATGCAGGAAACTATCAGGTTTTCTACCATGAATCTCCAGTCCCATCCTGCCTCCCCTCTGGCCCAGGTAAGGTATCTTGCTTCTCTACTTCTCCAGGTCTCTCTTCTTTCAGGCAGGGTAATGACTTGAAGCTTGTAAGATCACTAAGTAGAAGGAGACAATCAGTTCTCTTCCTGTGGTCTTGGGAAGAACATAAACCTAGACCTCTACAAACAAAACGTCAGCATGACCCAGTCTATGGGAGTGCAAAAAGGTCCAGAAAGAATGTTTTAAATATTGCAGATGACTCTCTCTAGTACAGTTCAGCTGTCTAGGTACTACGTGTCTTAAAAACATGCAAGGAGAGTTACAACTGGAAAGAGCTTACAATATGAAGTTGACCTGCGCTTATTTTGTAGTGTAGATTTTCTTCCTGATTTTGCCTTGAAATTTTTGCTGCAAACTTTATCCTCTACTTGAAAAGTCACAACATTTTGTCACTGCTGCTCAGGGTATAAAATTACAGAGATGCAATTTTCACAGGAAGGTGGTATTTGAAGGAGCTAATATCAGTGACACAATGAACAGGAGGAAAATGGGGGGAAGTACAGAAAAGAGAGACAAAGGAGATAAAGCCAGATCCACATAAAGAAGCAAGGTGTTGAAACTGGGACTTTGCAACAGGGATGCTTAGGTGTGCGAGATGGAAAAGATGATCAAAGCCCTTCAACAGATTTTAATTAGTAAAAAAAACTCCAGCAATTTAAGTTCTGGCTACACACAAAAGCTTAACCCCGTGTTGGCAGAGATGGTCAGCTGGCACGGCTCCAACGCCTACGCCTGATCAATATTCTCTCAGTAGATACCCTGCTTCTCTCTGCAAAGCGGACAGATGACCTCAGCATGCTAACATTCATCTCTAGAAATAACTTCTACTCAATACACAGAGACTAATGTCTTCTCCTGTTGTTCAAAAAGAAAAGAGCAACTGCACCTCCAACTGCACAAGAAGTGTTAGAATGTACCAGGATATGATTCCAGTCTGTGAATATTAATTAACACAGACTACTATCTTGCAGTGCAGAATCAGATATTTTAGAAAATTTGAGCTTAAAAGACTACATTATCAGCCTTCTGTATCACTTTACATGTACTACTTTACATTTCCCTTCTCACTCTTCTTTGGCAGTATACTGATAGGAATAATATTTTTAGTATCTAAAGCTCCCCACAGACTCCACTTTAGGAGCCAGATGTTCACAGTTCAGCACTGCAATGCCCAGCATTACCACATCTGCATTCCTGTGTTGAACTGCCTTGAGAAAGCACCCACTCTAGACTGATCAAACCTGAGTGTGGATCAGGAACTCAAAAGTCAGTCCAGTGGTTCACAGTGAAATAATTTTCCTCTTGAATTGCCCCTTTAGTACCTCATTCTCGACATCCACACCTTTGTCTGTATTCTTCCGTGTACTATTCAGAGTCCTGTAACACAGCTGCACTACTGCACAGGGAAGTTTCCAGTGCAGAACCAACACTGGGTTTTTTACCTTTGGATCAGCAGTCAGCAGCTTGAATGCTTGATATACTTGTGCTTCTTTCACACCTCCACCCAGATCCAAGAAGTTGGCTGGCTTTCCACCATTCAAGGATATTATATCACATGTTGCCATTGCAAGTCCAGCTCCATTGACTGTAATTGTAAACATCAAGTGCTTACATTTCACATAAAAGTATATAAAATTTGTGAAAAAGCTTAAAACGTATCAGCACAACCACATACCATGACTCAAAATGTTACCTAAATATTTATGTCTGAACAGGTTAGTAACTAACTCAAGGATATTCAATGCAACAAATAATTCAAAATCTGGTGCACACACACCAACATCTAGATTTCTTCATGACTGTATCAATTTTAGGACTCAGATGTGAACCTTCCCTTAAGCACGTATGAGCACTGGAATGGTAACTGTGGAAATGCAAAAACTTCTAACTTCAAGAAATATAAAAAGAGACACAAAAACTTCTGGGAATAGTGATTGCATCACAAGATGTGAAGGTCAGATTGACTCCTTAAGCTCCCCTCCCATCATTCCGATAGCAGCGGATGATGCTTTGTATTACTGCAAAACAGACAACTAATTTTTGGGGACAGATATCAGATGCTCCTACAACTGCCTTCTATTTTGTGTTCGCACCAGTCTAGAAGCATTCCCACGGGCACGAGCAGCCTCTAAGCTAGGAAAAGTAGATGTGAATTATTTGTGCCCAGTAAGTTGCTCCTGCTGCACAAAGTAAGGCTTCTGTGTCACTTGTGATACAACAGCAATATCTAACACTAAAAAAACATACTGCAGTGTTGCCATTTATTGTTTGGGGGATTTTTGGTTTTGCTTTTTTTTTTTTTTTTTTTAAACTGAGATTAAAACCTTACTGTCGCTTACTGAATCAACTGCAACACATTGTCAGTATCCTCTAGATTTGTGGCTAGAGTACACATCAAAGTAATGTAAACATTGGACATTTTCTAAAACCAGTAATTTCACCAAGCTGAGATAAAACGACTAATTCAATCAGCCCCTCCATAAAATGTTGTACTGGCTAAAAGTATTCGCACAAAATGAAAATTATTTAGAGCATAGCTGACTTTTTTACTTATCTCTTCTAAACACAAGAGTAATTTCTGTTCTAGAGAAACTTCAGGAAAATACGAAACTGGTATTTTCCTTTGAACAACCAAACAGCTTCTTCAGCAGCTTTCCTTAAAGGGAAATGGTGTTCAAGATTCGTTTGCAAATAGGAATATCATGATATCATGTTTTCCCATACATGTTTTTCCAGTGCCTTCTTAGTAACACAGTATCATTTTTGAAAATTAATGATCAAATTTTGATAACTTTTCTTGTTTTAATTACTGGAAAGACCAATTGCATCAGCTTAAAAATTCAGAACTCCGAAACCCCACAGGCTTCTCCCTTCGCCTGTCTTCTCTCCGACATCACCCACTCCCTGCCTGGCGGCTGCTGCTGCAACAGCCTTCATCACCGTTTCAACACAAGTCTCGTTTCACTCCTGCAAGAATTTGTGGAAGGACAGAAAACCTCAGCAAAATAGACCGAAATACTGTCAAGGGTGGATTCAATGTCAGAATGTAAACAAATCTATACAGTGAACAGGTATGAATTTGTCTTCAAATGTCTTTTGGATTTATTTGTTCTTACCAAAGCAAGCAATATTTCCATCCAGTCCTATATACTTTAAGTCATATTTGGCAGCTTCATTCTCTATAGGCTCATTTTCAGACTTGTCATCCATGGCAAATATTTCTTTTTGCCTAAATTCTGCATTGTCATCAAAGTTTATCTTGGCATCAAAACAAACAACTGAAATAAAAATATAAAACAACATACAGGCATTTAGAGATTACAGTTAGTCAGAGCTTCTGAAATATTACACCAACTACTACAGCAGGGAGGGGAGAGGGTGGCTTAGGGCCTGATGCCTCTTCCAACATAGGATCAGTTGAAGCTCTAGCATTGAGTCCAGCAGAGCAGGGTAAGTTCTCCTCAAATCCTACACTGAGGAAAGCTACAGCAAGCGTCTCCACGCTATGCAGTCATGTGCCTTTGTCAAGGGAGGATCCCCTATGTTTGCTTCAAACAAAGTTCCCGTAAGTTATGACGGCAGTTTTTACGGTGTGAACAGGTGGTCTGCGGTAGTTTCGTAAGAGCCTACTTTCAGTATTTGGAAATTATGACAGACACAGCAGGTAACAGCTTAGCAATCCAAAGCAATGTTTGGTAACATGTACTCATCTATAGTGGAGCAATACAAAATGCTTTCCTTCGCTATATTTTACTTTAGAATGTTATTAGCTATACACACATTATTTCCCTAAAGATCTAAATTAAAGGAACTTGAAGCCAACGTATGTTAAAAATGATCAAAAGATAACTTTTAAATAAAGAAAATTTAAAAAGTAAATACAACACTTCTCATCAATGTCAACATCTCCTATGGCTGTAAAAACAAATTAAAAAGTAGCTAAACCTGACTATACTAAATAACAGATACCAAAGACTAGCTAGCAGACATAACATCCATATAAATACAAACAGGAAAAGACATGCATGTGGAGTGTTATTTACCTATTTACCGACTTACTATTTCTATGGATTTGCACACGCAAACACCTCATTAGATTAAAATTTTCTAAGTAAATGTAAGACTATATACTTATCATTTTACTATTTAAGTAATTTGATTTGTGTTACATCCAGATTATAATTATTGACTGAATTATAATTGATTTCCCAATGCAAACCTGTCAGATTTAAGTGCCTTTAAATGCTGCATTCAGAAAAATCAGACAGTTTTTCTTTCTGCTGTGTTTTGATTCAGATTGACACTGAAACACAAACATGGTACATCTGCACCTGCTCACGAGCACTGTACACGTCTCTGAAACTAGAGGTCAATTACAATTAAAAAGACAATTTTTAGTCTTTGGTATAGATACCCATTAATTAAAATAATGAATCACACAATCTTGTTTGGTGGAAAAATGCCTCCTTTTTTTTAATATACAATTGCTTAACTTAGGAGAAAATATCTAAGAAAACAGCAAACAAAACATTTACACAAGTAGAAGAGTCTCAGTTGTATGTCTTGATATGCATTGGGTTTTCTTGTTTTGTATTTCTGACATTGCTGGGGGTTTTTTTGTGGTTTTTCTAAATACATTTGATTTGTAACCAATACCAGATTTAATTTAAACACGGTCAAATTTAGTTTCAGTGACTGCAGTTTCAGAAAACTATTCATGAGTGTTTGTGTATAATAAATCTCTCTTGGAAGAGTCTAGATCTTACCCGGTCAACCATCATGTGGGAATCTGCCAAAAGGAGAAATGTCTGAAGTTCATAATATGCTTCTACTGTACTAGAGTTGCTTTAATTTTTTTTTAGCAATGAACTAAGACCTGTACCATTTTTCTTTTTCAAGCTTTTAGTTCCTTAAATTGCCAAAACAACTCAAAGCTGGAATAAAAACGCAGTTTCAGAGCTCTCTCTGCCTTAGACATGAACATCTTCAATGTCACGTTAATAGAATCTCATTTCTACATAACATTCATCTTTAACAAAGGCCATGGTGTACAAAGTAGCAGGAAAAACACCTATTAATATTTATCAAACCATTTTCACCATCAAAAGCACATTGTTACATGCATGACAGATTCTACAAATGAAATTTTCTTCTAAACAAATATCAAAGAAAGCTCCAATACTTATATTCATGGGGTATTTCTGTTGTTTTTGCTAGCAGTGTAGGATTTTTTGTCATCTGTCAATTCAACAACTTACACTGAGAACAAACAAAACAACAAAAAACCACAAAGAAATTGGCAGTTACAGGCTTTTGACTCAATAGCATTAACAAAGAATTTGCTACAAAATTAAACCAAAGGAAATACATAGGACAATGTATTTTCTTATGGAAATTCACACAAGAGAAAAACACAAAACGCAGCAAGAAATAAATCCATCTTAACCGTTACTTTGACAGGAATAATAGTCTTCATACAGAAATTTTTATTTTATCATTAGAAATAACCACATTAAGCTACTCAACTGTTCTTCCATTTGTTTTATCTTTATTCTACTTAAAGACATTTCAGATGGAGAGATTGCCATCAAAAAAGAAATAAGCACAGGAAGACTTTTGTGTATGTCTGCTAGTAAGATGGCTTTCACAGCTTGAAACCCTCTCTGTTTCTGCTCCTCAGCTTCCTGGATGCAAAACACATGGGGAAACACCTCGGAGAAAACAGCATGAAAACTCCTATCATCCCTCAAATTAAGCCCTGATCGCTAAATATGCACAGCAATTCCAGAAAAGCTAAGTTGGCAACTTATCCAAATCAGCCCATTGTTTCCACAGTGCCACCTCGCAGTACTCCGGGCAAGGATGCAAAGTTAGTACGGCCACGGTTCTTTAGGATCACCACTTTTGTTTCCTCTCGTTCCCAACTGTCCTCTCCTTCACTTGCCCCTATTTGTCTACCCGTTTCCCCTCTGCGTTGGTATCCAACTAAACATGTCCTCAGCACCTCAAGGATGCTCCTCTTCTGTTACCTGACGGCACTGTCTCTGCCCTTCTCACTTCCTTCGTGGTGTCTGTACACATCTACAGTCTCCAGTCACTAATGTCCAAGACATACTTAAAGGTCTACCTTGCAGGATTACATGGCCGAGATGATGCAGGTACTGAATCGGGGATTTTGTCCTTTGCTCTGCCAAAATAATAAAATAGTGAAGTGCTTCTATGCTACTCCTCTGAACTAGTTTAGAGCCAGCAAGTGTGAACACCAGAACAGCCTAGTCCTGGCACAAAGAGCTTACCTCCAGCTCATTTCTTTGTCTGATACAATGCAATTGCTGTAGATGTCCCATTTTCTGCCATCTGACTGCGCATAAGGACTGAGTACCTTCCATACTGCCCTGTAGTGTTAAGGTATTTTGGTCAATTATTCTACTAAAAAAATTATTTCCACAAGTTCTGAGGAAGGATATTGTGTTTTTACAATACCAGTGGTCTTGAATCCATAAAATAAACCTGGTAAGTACATCAGTCATAGCAGACAGACATACCAATGAATTTATTTTGAAGCAAGCATCATAATCTGCAGGAAAGTTTCAGCAGTTTTTGTTGCACCTATTTTAAAGTTCCCATTCATCCTCAAACGGTTAAGTGTCATGTGTTGCACACTGCTAGAATTTGAAACATCCAGACCGTTCATTTTAGAGGGCCCTATTTCATTGTTCTGCTTTAACTCCACTGTGCACCACAAAATGAAAATGTCCTTCTCATGTCATTCCCAACTGATTTTAATGAAGCCAGTGGATCTATTTAAATGGCAGGGAAAAACAACAGCCTATTGGGTTCTGAAGGCAAACTGTCCACTTCCATTTAAAATACAGCCTAGTGTAGAACTACACCAGTCAACAGCAGGGCTTTTGGTCTCTCTCCCCCAGTACACATTTCACAAATTGCATAACAACTAGTAAGAACCAGTGGAGCTAGAGTTAGTTGCTAAGAATTTTACTTATATTTAAGCTGAGTGAAGTTTGCAATGCAGAAACTATTGATTCAATGTGCACATTATTATGGTACTCGGAATGAGCTGGAAATCTGAGCACACAGTGCTGCGAAAGGTTCTCAGATAAAAAGAGTGCAAGCATTTGGTGGAAAACACTCTCCTGAGGTAAACTCTACCCAGAGAGCTAACGGATTCTGGTGGCCAGAACACCAAAATACCCAACCAAGAAGGAATTCGAAAAAGGTCAAAAAAAAAAAGGGGGGCTGAAAAGCAGAATGCATACATTTAGGTCATAAATATGATCTTCTATAGTAGTTCAACCTGAAATTGGGTCATGACATAAAAAAAACCCTGCCCACATATCATCATTGTCTCCGAATTATCCTCATATCTTTTAATAGAGAAGATATTCCTTTTGGTATTTGTTTTTAAGATGTCACTTCACAGTTGAGCATTTAAGTGTCCCAGATCCCATTTTATAACACAGAACAGCACTTTATAAGATGCGTTAATAAAATGGGGCAGGTCAGGATTTGTTTTACATCTTTTAGAGCTTTTTCAGAGTGCATTCCATCAAAATTTTCCTTTCAAGCTGTGGACAATTCCCTGCCAATTCTTTTGCATTTGTTTTGTTAATAAAAAGGGAAAACTAAGACTTGGACAATTGGAAGAGACTGCATAGTTTCTAGCCACAATTCAGCTTTTGAATTCCTGACCAACTGAGCCCAAAATACGGATTTTTAGTGAAAAGCAAACTAGCTGTGGGCACATAAGAAGTATTTTTTAAAAGCTAATTCTTTCAAGTAGTACTGACTCCTATGGGGACCTCACGGTCTTAACTGACATAGCAGTGATCTCTTTCCAAAAGTTTCCAGAACTGCAATTAAGGAGCCACGTTCCTAACGTCTTAAAATGGGTAAAAGCTTTCTCTTTCCATTTTCTGATTTCCACTGTAATTCGTGGGCTTATCTTACAAAGTTGGTTAAAAACAGGAATTGTCTTTCCTGAATATTCTTTACCCATGTTGGTCAAGAAACACCCACCAGCACTTCCCAATGTCAAAGACTTCTCTCAAACCAAAAAAACGATACCCTAGGTAGGGCCTCTACTAGACAGTCACTAGCGCTTGTGAACCGCAGCCTTTCACATCGAAGTCTCAGCCAGCTCCCTGTGAACTCCACAACTTCTCACTTTAATCTACTAAAATTAAAGAGACGAAACAAAAAGAGAGGGGGGGCATGAACATCATAAAACATTGGCATTAGGAATGAATGCAAGGGTAAAACTGGTCTGCAAAGGAAAGAGCGAGGTGGTACTTGCGACCCACTTGGATCAGCCTGATTCTATTTCAACATACCACAGGCTTCTGCAGTCCCTCTTCTCTTTTGTCCAAGTTAATTGGACAAAAATGATAAATGGAAGGAAGGGTTTCAGCTGGAAAACCAACTACTAGAATGACATGAAAGCTAACCCAGCTCCTTTTATTTACCCTATGCCTTCTAAGCCTTGTATTCATGGTGGAAGCAGACCAATTACCCTTTTTCTTCCGAAAGGACATAGCTAAGTGTCCGTTCCAGCTGGAATTTCTCCTGTGCTTTAGCCGGTTGCAGTCACACACGCACTTATGATTTTAGCTTAGCTGTATGTTTACAAATGTAAAACAAAAAGTTTCCTGCCACACAATCTCAGGAATAACATAAAAAAAAAACCAACAGAAAAGCAATAATAACATAAAAATATCCAAGACAAAACAATACCAAGGAAAAAACAACTTTGTACAAAGAGCAGAAGAGCAGAAAATGTTGCTGCTTCTCACCAAGCAAACCATGTAGAAGCCGATACTTGCAGTACTTGGATGAAATAACAAAAGGTATTGAAATGTAAAATCTGCCATGGGAATATTTATGAATGTTGCTTAAATTACATTACACAATGAAATTAATGCAGAGCTGCTGCTACAGCCTTCTATGCAATTTAATTTATAGTTTGCATAAATAAAGAATTATAATGCATTCATTTGTTTCCTTCCATTTCTTACCTTGTCCTTCTGGAGTTTCACCAAAGGGATTCACTTCAACCTGAGTGGCATCAACTTTCAAGAAAAGATTATACAGCTTCTTAATTTGATCTGCTGCCTAAATTTGATCAAGCGATTTACAATTACCACACAGAAAAATAAACGTTAATGCTTTCAAGGCAAAGGTAAACCATTATTGATTATTTTAATGTATTAAATTGCACACTGTAATTACTGGTTTTAGTTCTGTTTTCTTAATCATATTTATATAGTATCTAACGTAGCTATAATGCAACATTATGATACTGCATAGCATTTAGTGAAGGTGCATTTAAAGACTACACGAACTGAAGGCTTTCTACAAAATAAACAGCACAATTACTATGACAAGTTTAATTTGAAGAGTGCCTAACAGTTCATAATTACATATTCTCTAGTATGCTGAGATCTAAGTTGCATTCACATTAATCAGTCTAAATTCAGAAACCATAAAGCAGTATGTGCACATTAGTGACTTTAGAAAAAATAGACATTTCTCCTTCCTACGTCAGCCTGAAGTGTTTTCTTGAACAAATTATGTCAGAAGCATGCTTGTTTACTCTTTACAAGACACTCTTGCTTGTCCTTATTGTTCCTCACCATCTCTCTCTGTGACTGAAAGTATTATGACTGACTACTAACTTCCAAGTCTTTTGTTCTTATAGCCTTCCATTTATAGAACAACTTACACAGCAACATGAATGTGCATTAAAAAAAAATCTCTTTAGTTCACTACACACTGACAACCCATTAGCTGAAATAAGTTTCCAGATGAAGAAATGCACTAATAAAGACCCATTCAAATGTGTTCCTTCATTATTGATCACTAAACTGAATTACACAAACCAAAAATATCTGGGAACCCTTCTAATAAGATCACCGGAATCGCTTAACTTTTATTAAGGGCTTCTCCTTCTTTCAGCACCTCTTTGGATCAGGCAGCTTAATGTCAACCTTTCTCAAGGTCTACAAGTACCGAGCCTCTTTGAGGCAAAGCATAAAATCCTAACCTAGAAACAGTGAATGTAAAAGTAAATACTAGGATTTATCTCAATAAAAACTATGTCCTTATGCTTCAGTAAATTCCTTTGAGTTGATAGCACAAGGAAAGAAATGCACTCACTGCACCATTATTTAAATGTATTGTTGAAAAGTCCATATATTGCTGTTAATTATGAAGTACCAGAACTCTTCAAGGGTTGAAAGCCTCTACATAATCATTCCTCCTCATTAGATATACAGCTAAATCTCCAAATGTGTGTTAATCAACTTAATGATTATGCATTTGTTAATTGCACGGTTGGGATAGAAAATAATTAAAACTAGTGAATTAAAAATAAAGGAGTTCTACAAAAATGACAGTTTGATACTATGGAAAAAAAGTAGCTTAAACAAGCTTTCTCTTCTCTGCAAAATGATTCATAACGGCAAAACATCTTGCATATTTGTGTACAATATGGAATTCCAATATATATATAGAAAAGAGATACTGAAAAGACAACAAGCTGTCAGCCTTCTGGTTTTGAGTTGAAGATCAAAAAAATAAAAAAAAAAAAGCGGCTTCAGTTACACAGAGAGACACTTTTACTTCTCCCTATACTAACAGCTAAATTTTCCAAAAAAGCACTACCCATGTAATTCACTGAGCTCCAAAGGAATTCCAAAGAAATCAAAAGAATCCCATGGGGTGTGACAGCATGTTGTCACCAATTGCTTCAAAGACTGGAGACTTTCACTTTGGAACAACTCAAATTGCTAAAGCCTGATGACAATTCTATAGGTGCAATTTAGTATTTAAAATGTAAACACAGTCCTGATCTAATGAACACTTGGCCTTTCATGTCTATTTGGAAAGCATTTATTGTATAGCTGGGCTAAAACGTCTTCAGTAAAAACTAAGGGAGTAGAGTCAAGTTACCTGCTGCTGCAAAGGTCCTTTGAATTCCAAATTTCTTGCCATCTGCAAGGCCTGATGATCCTTTATGCCTTCAAAAATATCTATTTCCTCCTGTAACAATAACATGCATAAATATAACTAAGTATTCAATCTGAATGCAGATTTATAACTCCAAAAGGAAAACACTTAGTATACATTTGCAAATTAGTAATTAAAGTATGGCTGTTTGCCAAAGTTCTCTGAGACTGAGGCTATAGCAGCTGCCTATAGGGTATGTTATAATTACCACACCAACTATGAAACAGTCCTTCCAAAAAATATATAATTCTTCAGGGTGGCATGCTGACAAGACAATGTGACACTAGTTTTCACTTTTAATTACTGTACAGATGGCGTTGATGAATATTTAGTCTGTTAATTTTTATGACATCTTCTGGAATATTTTCAAGGCAATGGTGTCACTGCCCAGTAAAACTGTGAAGTTCATATAATTTTAAAATGCACATTAAATATTTTTACAAATTTATGAATAATTATACTTGATTGTATCAATTATTTTCCCAGATGAAAAACTTGTCTACTCATTATCATGCCATAGTAGCATAAAAAATACTTAAACATAGTCATCATTAAGAAAGCAATTACAGCAGTTGGATTTCAGATGCAAAAGTCACCCAGGTACAAAGAAATAATTAACAACTCTGTCAATTTGAAAAAAAAACAACCACAGAAACAATAACCACATTGGCACCAACCCACTTTTGAAAAAAACTGTGTGCCTTCCTGAAAGTGAAACTCACTCGTAAAACATTTCCGATATTAAGTCTAACATATCCTGTGACAGCCAGATTTAAGCTCTTTTTCCAAATCAAGCTGGAGACACAAACACTAACACAATCAGATGTTAACATGCTTCATTTATCTGCTAGATGAAAGGTCTGATCCCCTCTTTGGTGAGACACAATTTTTATCGTTCTTATTGTCTTCTTTCCATACATGGAAGCAAAAAAAATGGAAGGAGAAAAGGGGGGAAAAAAAGTATTATTTCGTATAACTGACAAGGAAAATGTTAAGTCTAAAGTATTATTTTAATACCTTAAAGATAAGTTCTGGGCTAGTAACTGCAACTTCTTCTATGTCAACACCTCCCCGTGGACTGCCAACCATAACAGGTCCATTGCAGGCTCTGTCCATCAAAATCGCGAAGTACGTTTCCCTGGAAATATTCAGTGCTTCGGCAACCATCACCTAGAAATGAATACAGGGAAGAAAAAAAAAAAAACAGCAACACTTCTGACTGGACCATCCAGCTGGTGACACTTAATCTGAACATAGCTTCCTTGAGGTGACAAGAGTAGTGAATGTCGTCAAATCTTTTGCAATGTAACAAGCAATTAAACATTAACAGAACCAATGAGGGACAGTATTTCCCTCTGCTGTGACCAAGCAGAGAACACTGTGGCTCATGTTTTCTGCGTTGCCTTAAAAAGCAGCAGTCTGACACTTGCAATTCTGAAAAGAAAGGTTTATTTCATTGCTTTTACAAGATACTACAACCCTGTGATTTTTTTCCCCAAGAAATCCTCTCTCCCTGAATAAGAGACTCCCCTGATGCTGCTGTTTTCACTGGGGCATGTAACAAGCAGCGTAAGCCAGGAACATCTAATTGTTGGGGTTTCTTCCAAGAACAGAATCAGGGCTGCTGCTTTGTCTGTATTACCATTTTATTCCCAACAAGCACTTTAACATGCTGCTCCCAGAAAACACTTGAGCCACAAGGCACTACAGCCTTGCCCATCACACAGAGGTATGAGAGGGTACATTGGCTTTCTGACGCATCGTTTCAGTAGCACTGTTCCTCACCAGCAAAGCCTGGGGCTTAAGATCTCTCCCTCGTTCTGACAGAAGGCCATCCTACACTTACAATCCAGCACTCAATTCCTGTCCTGCCTAAATATTTCCTAAGGAAATGGGCATACAGATAATTCTGCCACGCAGCTTTTTACGTTCGGTACAGAAAGACAAGCAGACGTGTAACCTTCAGATACTGGCACGTTCTAGAAACATAAAAATTTATTTTTCCAAAGAGGTACTCATTTCTATTTAATATGATAAACTACAGAGCCCTTTCATATCAATATCTGACAGATACTTCAGCATGTAACAAAAAAATTGATTCACATCATACTTGATTTGAATCTACAAGTACTCACATTAAAACTGGGGGGGAAATGGCCCATATAAATCCCTTATTACAATGTTTCCTATCCTCCCAAAAATATGCCAAAGCACTTTCCATTTCAGTATTATAGTAACTATACTTTACTCTTCATCTGAACTGTTGATTTTTGCAATAGTTTAACAATAGCTATTACAGCAATTTCAGAGATTAATTAGTTTTTCACTTCAGAAAGGACTCAAAAACCTATGTTCTGATGCAAGAATAATAAATTCCCCCAAATACTCTTCATCTTACAAAAAAACCCCTGCATATTCTTATTACTAATTGTTTCTTACGATCATAACAGGCGCTGTCATCTCAGGTTCTGCTCTGCACTACGGTTTTGCTTTTCAACCTGGAAGTTGAGCAGCCACCTCTGCAATTTAATTAACACTATAGCTTCTCCTTCTGACAATCAACTACATTTTTCCTTAGCAGAGCTACTATCTTTCAATGGAAGTAGTAGAAATCAGGAAAATCACTTCCCTGAGATTAATATAATGAAAAAAAGATTAAGTGGCAATGTGTTTCTAACATGGTCTGTTTATAAAGCAACAGTTTTGAACAATGATGGCAGATGAAGATTATCATTCTGAATGAAACATAAGGTGAAATTCATTCTATTAGTCAGCAGTTCAAACTCCTTAGACCCGAGAGGCATGTGTACACCCAGAGTGTTAAAACTCTGCCTACCTGGCAAGACGTGTTCCACCAAATAAATATTCCTGGGGTTTTCATAGTTCAAGGACTATAAACAAGAAAGATGTGCTACACTTTCACCCAAGTAGCTTTTTTGACATTTTACTCCCGAGTACATAAGAAAGAATGTACTTACCTTCTTCCAGGCTGTACATCTTAACAGAACAGAAAAAAAAGTAAGAGACAAGAAATTAAATAAAGCCCTCTGTACTCAGAATGGAAGGAAAGATGCTATTTCTTTATGTTTTTTTTGACTTGGAAGAATTTTTCTTTAGAGGAACTTTGTTTCCTTTTACTTTTACCTTGCTTTAGTCATAGAACATAGGGTGATGTAAAGGACTAGTTTAAATAAGCAACTATTCAAAAGCAAACTAAGGAAAACTAGGGTGAAGGAGACAACTAAGAACGTAGAAAACTATTGTACTACTTAAAAGGATCTGCCTATTCTAGGCTACTGTAAAGGGATGCTAAAAGCCAACTTCAGAAACATAGCTCCGCTACCTGCCAGGATTTGTCAAATTAACAGGCAAAGTTATGGAAAGCATCCTCAATTTGCTACTATTACTCTTTTTACCTGCATGCATGTTTTCACTTCTTAAATGTCCCACATCAATGTATGTGAAAAATGTGAGTCAATTGCTTAAGACACAGGTCAGATAAAACCAGCTGGTCCTACTGGATCTTGTCTGAGTTGTTCAGAAAGTTTCCAGAGCGTGCAGGATCAGGGCCAGGCTTAGGACGGGAGCCCACTCAACGAGTCTTGAGGACTACATTCGCAAGCACATCAGGAGGAACCTACATTATTAAATCAGGTCAACACTGTTAAATACTCCCCTGCCTCAATTCACAAAACTATGGAGAGTCTATCTACTTTGCAGTAGGCAAGCTTACTGCAAAGTAAAAATTGTCAGACAGTGCAACGTCTCTCATTTCTCCTAACAAAAACCAGTTACTCAGTTACTTTACTTCACCACCTTCCCTGTTTGATGCAGAGCAAAGCCAGGGAAACTGGTGTTCAAGGCCTTTAAATATTATTTATTAAAGTCTACCTATCATTCACATGACGAAACTAATGCAAACACTTTAATGAACAGATAAGAGTAGTGAGACTGAATCTACAGACTTAAGACTCTTCTCATATTTTGTCTTTTCTGCTTATGATAAAGAACATGATGCATCACTATCTGTTTACCACACCAGATTTATATTTAAAATGTCCTGGGGAAAAAAAACCGGTTTTCTTTAAACTTCCTGATATCTTCAAGCTTTCCTTCTTAAAAACAAACCATTACCTAAAAGTTTAAGCCACACATCTAATTGCATGAGGGTAACTATAACAGCTCTCTTATACTGAATCAATTATTCACAGTGTTAATTCTGTTATTGCTTGGAGAGAAAACACAGGTAGCAAATTCTCAGGTTGTCATGATAAGAGAAGACTGTCTTCTCAGATAACCAGGCTCTCCAAATTCCAAGCTGCCATAAGAGGATTTTATGTAAACTCACAAAATAGCTTCCAAGTTACGAGGGAATTGAGGAGACTGTTATTTAAGAAACACCAATCTAAAGAAGCACAAACATGTTTTAAATTCTGTAGTAGGTGCACAAGCTGAGAAAGAAAGCTGAAAACTCCACTTTCTGCTCCATAATTATTCTAATTGTAGGAAATTTCTTTTATTCCTTCCTTACAAATACTTGTAAAAGGTACACGACTTCCACTCCCTGACGTGACACTAGCTCATTGTTTGCCTCGCAGAAAGTGACTTAATAACTATTTTCCTTCTGAAAGATGTTTATTACCCAAATTTTTTAAAACATGAGTTCACTCAAACTTCCAGAACACCAAAGAGTTTAAAAACCACCAAATCTAAAAACATGCCTTCTCTTATCTTCGTGAACTGCAATTTTCCTTAAGTACACGTACACACACATATTCTTGGATACACATACAGAGTAAGCATATGCCTTGAAAGAGAACAAAAATGCCTCTTATTAATTCTCAATTTTCCCACTGCTCTCAGCAAGCTTGAAGAGTCTGTCCGGCATTTTTTGAGCACTAACTACCCACTGCATTAAACGACATCTTAGACATCGCTAAATTCATACTTTTAATTGTATTACTGTAGTTTGCCTCTTGATTAAAACTTCAGTTTTGACATTGACATACTACAAACCTGAAAGCCTCCACTCCTTTAACTGCTTTGAAGATCCTGGAGTGAGTTAACTTTGGAAAAGATAAATGCTTTTAAAAGACATTAATTTTTCTGGGAGATGGTCTTTTGATGACCTAGATGCATAATTTTAATAATGCTTTCTTCAGTATCTAACAAGCAATAGGGAAATCATTAGCATACCATTGGCCAAATTGTTAAATAATTCATTTCAAACAGGTGTATGCTCTTCCCATAAAATACCAAGAATCAACATCTCAACACTAAAAATACAGAACATACTATTACCTTGATACATATGTGAGTGATGAAGATATTAATTGGCCTAGGGGTTTTAAAAGCCAACTATAATCAGAATGGATGTCTATGACAATAGATGATCAGCTTCTCCCAGTGAAAAGCATCACACTGGTTTATCATGCATCAATATTAAAATACTTGCAAGCTGTGTCCTGAAAAGTGTCCATGTAACTCTAGAGCAAATGAAAAATACACAGTCTATCAAGGCTAGACTTTCCTGTACCACTAGAATAAATACCTGAAGTTCAGCAGTGCAAACTTCACCGTAAACATCATGTATGCCCTAGCTGCTTACACCTGAACATTGTTTATTTATACAAGCAATGTGTGGATGGGGAGGAAAACAATTAAAAGTTAAATCTTCTATAGCTATTCTATACTTTGTACAAGCCATCTTAACATAAATCCTTCGAACAATCTATTTTAAAAAACCCCAACAACCATACTTTTCCTTCATTTCTATCAATGTCAAAGAAAATGAGAAGTTTCTTTTTCAGAACTGAATATGTAAATGAATGAACAGACTTGCACTCAGACAAAAGAGTGAAACTTCCTGTACTGATGTATTCAAAGTAGGTCAACTAGGGCAAAAGAATAAACCCAAAGAATTGATAAAAGAAAGCTGCTTTTACAACACAAATTTTTCAAAGCAGAGTTCCTTAATATGGAAATGTATATCCTTTTTTTATAGCCTTACTATTATCACAATCTCTGACAGACATGCCTTACTGGTAATGCTGTTCCTTCTTTTTAATATCTAGTATTTCTTTTTAACAACAGCTATGAGGACTGATGGTAATCGCCTCTCCTTGCTCCCAAAGACAAGAACCGCTCGAGCACCTTCCTCCAGCCCTCATTAGACAGTATCTTTCCAGACAGGTGTTCTCCTTCTATGCTAATACACCAAGCTGTTCACAGTATATTAACAGTGAACTCCAGCTCTTTTCAGCTCATATCAAATTATCTCCTGGCATCAAATACAGTGTGGCTCTTGACTACATACCTGTATGAAGATCCTTGCTCAGTAAAACAAAGCAAGAGATAAAAATATATATAGTAGACAGACAATTGCTAGGATTTCCTGACTTACAGAATTTTACCAAGGTAAAGGAGAAGCTTACTGAAGGGCTCTCTCTACTCCTCTTATTTAGGCCAATACAGACCAATACATTTACATGAGGTGAATCTTGGCACCTCACAGTATGCACCAGCACAGGTAAATGAACTACCACGTATTAGCTGAACGACTACTGTGACCCCATTTTACTCTGTATCTGCAACAAGTTAGGAAGAATCTACTTTTAGACACTACCTCTGTTTACTTTTTTTTCTGAAGTTGTGATCATTCTCATGCAAAGTCATCTATCAGTATTTTTAATAACAGCTGCCCAAAGCTGATGATGAATGAAACACAAATATTATTATTACTACATATAATCAGGTATATTTTGCTTCTCTAAGCATAACGTCAGTAAGCATGCAAAGTTAATGCTACATACAGTTATGCTAGCATTTAGTATGTACTTGATGAAGGATGAAGCTATGACAAAGGATTCCCTTCAACACAGGTAGCAAAAGTGAATTCATTGTTCCACCTAGGTATGCTGAAATTGATAGATAAAATACATACACACAAAGAAAGAAAAAGCAACTTTTTTTTTCCTTTCATCAACTAGCTGCAATCAATCAGGCATCGGAAAAGGAATGAAAAAAAATAAATCTGTCATACACCCCAGTACATTAACGCAAAACTGCAGATGAACACAGTCCTCAACTTTCAAGAGGCAAAAATCTCACCTTTTTAACTGTCACACCATCCTTTGGAGTTTGCTTTGTTGACAGATTGTACCCAATCATCTGTTTAGCAAGCTGTTCAACAATCTTAGGGCTACAAACAAAGGAAAAAGGTTAGTTTACTGAAAGATATTAAAAGAAACAGTCACATAGCTAATGTAAGCAGCTTAAATAGTACAACAGAAGCAATTTATTTATGCTTTTCAATATTAAAGACTTACTCTTTAGTTAGATGAACTCCTCCTTTCAATCCACTATTGAAAGTACCTTTTCCTCTCCCTCCAGCCAGAATCTGTGCCTTCAGAACGATTTCATTTGCCTCTGTAGAAGAAAAAAAAAAACATTACTATTCTACTGTGTGTTGTTTATCCAGCTTGTTAGTGTAAGTTTAAAAAGCATTTCCAGGTTAGACTCTTTAAAAAAAACTATGAGAAGTTGTTCACACAACCAGTGAGCAATAAAACAAGAGTCAAGTCAGCATTTTTATAAAGCAACCAATTCTTTTGAATTGTTCAAATCAGTTAAAGGATAAATACACCCTACTTATTAGCTGGATAAACATGTCATTATTCAGACCAAAACAATGCTATTAACACTACGTGGCCTGCACAGCCAACCACATAACCAGCACACAGTTTGATGGCTTACACTCCGGCATGGTTTCTAAATCAGGAATCAGATCATATTTTGTCTTGAATACACAACAAACAAATGCTCATCAAGGAAACCAGTAGAGGCCTGGGGCAGACCTGCTGCAGAGCAGTTCCGCGATGAGGGACCTGGGTATCCCGGGGGATGACAGGTTGGCCATGAGCCAGCAGTGTGCCCTGGCTGCCAAGAAGGCCAGTGGCATCCAGGGATTCATCAAGAGGAGTGTGGCCAGCAGGTCGAGGGAGGTTCTCCTTCCCCTCTGCCCTAGTGAGGCCCTATCTGCAGTGCTGCATCCAGTTCTGGGCTCCCGAGTTCAAGAAAGATGAGGAGCTAATGGAGAGAGTCCAGAGGAGGGCTACGAGGATGATGAGGGGACTGGAGCATCCCTGCTACGAGGAAAGGTTGAGGGAGATGGGCTTGTTCAGCCTGAAGAAGAGAAGGCTGAGAGGGCACCTTATAAATGCTTATATATATCTCAAAGGTGGGTGTCAGGAGGACGGGGCCAGACTCTTTTCAGTGGTGCCCAGAGACAGGACAAGGGGCAATGGGCACAAACTGAAGCACAGGAAGTTCCGTCTGAATATGAGGAAGAACTTCTTTCCTCTGAGGGTGACGGAGCCCTGGCCCAGGCTGCCCAGGGAGGCTGTGGAGTCTCCTTCTCTGGAGATATTCAAGATCTGCCTGGACAAGGTCCTGTGCAGCCTGCTGTAGGTGACCCTGCTTCAGCAGGGGGGTTGGACTAGGTGACCCACAGAGGTCCCTTCCAACCCCAAACATTCTGTGATTCTGTGTGATTCTGTGAAAATAAATTCCACTCCTTGCCCTGAACACATGAAAGCAAAGCTATGAACGTGGTCCTAGATGAAGAAATCCCCATCTCCACAGAGCAAGTACATGCAACGCAAGGGCAGGAGCTGTGAAAACACATCCAGCTGTTCGTGAGGCATCACTGTAATCCTTGGCAATGCGAGTGCACCAGCATCTCAGTAACCACAAAGTTCAGCACGGCACAGCGACAACAGTAATTACACCAAGACCTACGTTCCAAGCAGAAGCAATCCTGGCACACTTACGGAGTAAAACAGGGGAGAAAAAGGGAAAAGAAAAAAAACCAAGCAAACAAAAACATCACTCATGATCTCTGTAGCTCCATGGACCATTGCAGCTTCTTTAACTACAAAGACCTGCCAGGTATTTATTAATACTGAATACTGTCACTTTGCACACTTCTCATAATGCTGCCAGGTATTTTGCAAAGTCTGAGATCCTAATATTAACATATCATCAAGCAGTGCCTAGAAAAGGCTAACATTGTTATCCTTTTGTGATTGAGCCAATTCCCTCTGGTCTGTCGAAATCTCTGATTTCAGTGATGTTTGGATCAGGTCACACCTTGAATCACAATATTCTGTGCAAGTATGCAAGAAAACATGAGAACTGGTCATTAAATTGACTGATTTACTGTTTACGTGGCACAGAGGATATGAATAGTTTCATTCAAACAAACACAGGCTTTCTAGGCTTGTATAACACAAAAATATTTTACAGATCATTAAATACAAGTTTGGAGGTGCGGCCATTTTTGGTGCAGATCAGCTCTGACACAGCGCCATTTCAAAAGTTCCAGAATAGTAAATCTCAGCAACTAGGAAAAACGTCGGAACTTAGGACAGAATTAATATGATGAAATAAATATTTCCTGTATAAAGACAGAAACACATTTTCAATACAGCCATTGGCAGTGCTGTACTGCCAGAGATGCCCGATTTTCAGCCTTCTCAAGGCAAAATCCCTCCACCTGTTTATCCATTCACTAACATTTGGCACGCATCATTCTGAACTTTAAAAGCACTCTCCTTGAAAATACTTCATGCATTCCAATATATTCATGTTCTGGGCTCCCTATTATTCATGCTACTGCAAGGCAGATAACAAGGAAATTTAAATGCAACAAAAAGTTTGATATCAAGTGTTTCCTAAGCACACAAATTATTAAGATGAATTAAAACTGTAAATCACTTTCCAGTCTGCAGCAGCAAACTCTAAATTCACAATAGCTGCTGCAACAAAGAATCAAATATAGTATTGTTAAGAGATGCTGCAAGCATTTAATTAGATCAGTTTTAGGTGCCAACCGTCCCAGCAATGTGAGTTTTGAATGTCAGTGATACGTGCTATCAATTATGTGAGTGATCATTACCCTCACTCCTAACCAGCACACTACATGAGCGCTGATTATCTTCATTTGGCTACACAAATGAAGTTCGAGAAAGGAATTAATGTGTACATTTTTATAATCCACTAGAGGACTACCAAGGCAATGCAATAACTTCAGAAAAACAACTATCAAAAACAAACAAACAGACTAGAAAGTAAGCATAACCATGTCCAGATTAGACCTGAAGAACTAATCAATAGAGCAGCTCAGCAGAAACCAACAGGAAGCAATTTAATTCAATAGTTATTTGCCCAAGCTCTGTAAAATGAAGTAAACCAGCCAGATCCTATTTTACAGTAACTAAGCTTGATCATTTAGTACTTACCAAGCCGATTCACTACTTAACATCAGCATTTTATTTAAAGAACTGATTTCTAGAAATGCTCATACGAAGTTTTTATCCTATCTCCTGCCTGAAATCCCAAATTATATTACAAAAGACCATCCCAAAAGAAAAATGTGGGTTTAGCTGGAATATATGAAGTAATTCACCTTCACTTGTAGGCTCTAAGAAAAATAAATAATCTAAAAAGCAGTATGCAAAGTCAGTATTAAACCCATCAAAAACAAAAAGCTGTAATAAATTTCCACTAGCACTCTTCCAAACTGCTGTAGTTAATACTGAAAAAAATGTTTAAGCAGGGCTGTGCAGTTACAAATACTGGATTTGAAGACAACCTAGCACAAGCAACATGTCCTTACACCACGATGAAGTACAGTGCCATGTTCTTGACAGCACTGCATTTGGTAATCAAGGCTTCAACGAACTTCTGCACACATCCATTGACTGACAAGCCCTTGTGTGAAATTAAAAAAAAAAGCCACCACAAAAACCAAACCCAAACAAAAAAAGACTGCTTAAGTGTGCAGAGAATTTTTTTTTTGTCACAGATTTAAAGTTTTCTTAATCATTCAAAACAATACAAAAAGAGACTGCTTTTAAGTGTCACTAATTTAGCAGCAAATAGCCGCAGACTGCTCCTTGCAGATTACTGACGCATTTCTGGTAACAGCATGTGTTCTTAACTAATTATAACTTGAATATATTAATATCTCAGACTTAACAGTTTAGTCACTGGATCTTACATTCGTCTTTTTTACATTAATCTACAGAAAAAGAGACACACGAATATTTCTAGAGTCCTTTAAAAAAATGAAGCAAAATACAACTTGTCCCTAAGTCAGATGTCAATAAATAAGCCAGACCTTTACTCCTCAGAAAAGTCCTCAGAGTTTAAAATTTCAGCACCATAGTCAGGTCTAATGACATTTCTAAAAAAAAAAAAAAAAAAATCTAATCACAGAGGAAAGAAGCCTTAAGTACTTTTCTTTTAAATAAATTCAGATGTTTCAGCAGAACAGAATACAGCACTCTGAGGGACGAGCACCCTCTGCACTGCATTCAACAATACATCTCCTTCCCCTCAGCCAGCGCTGTGAATACAAATGGCAGTGATACTCCGTGCAATTGTAATAGGCTCAGTTCTATAATGAAAGCCTATTTAAAATCAATAAAATCAGTCCTGCTTTGGGGAGCTATGATTACTCTGGTCCACTGGTGCTGCTTGCAGCAAAAATGAACAGCTTGTTCTCAGCCCACTGCTGTGTATATTTAACTACTGAATTCTTGATCATGAAACAATATACTGAAAACCATAGATCTGCTAGTTACATGGTATGCTAATTTATTACCTGTGAACAACTTTCCATTATTATTGATACGACTGCGTGATTGCAAATTAGGCGTGTTAACAATTACATTAAAATGTGCTGTAGCTTATCAAAAATAAACTACTGTAAAGAACAGACAATGTAAGAAGCATGGTAATAGGCCTGTTTACGAGCAGATTTTCTACCAGACAGTACTCAGGACTACTTTGGCAAGGCATCCTACACTACAGAATTAGAGCACAGGACTGCAAGGGAGGAGGTCTCACACGAAACCCTAAATACACTTCTGTCTCACCATGCGCCTTTCAGCAGTTCGGCTTCTCTATCTGCAGGGGCTCTGTGAAAATTAATTAGTGTCTACACCTCTTAAGAATGCAGAACCTGATCCAGCATTGCATTAGTGTATTTTTACCCCAATGTAAGGCAAGCGATCACAGAAGGGCTGAATCCAAACCCTGGCAGCAGCAAAGTGTCACTGGAAAATGCACCAATCTCTCTTGTAATGAGCTTAGTACACATTGCAAAATAGATGGAAGCAACCTGGTGTCATGGGAGCAGCGCAATGAAGACAAACTGAGGACATGCCAAAGCAATGTCTTGCAGAAGCAGTGTCTCCTTACTGACCCAAAAGTCAGCACAAACACTGAGTTCATAAACACAGGAGAGCTGTTCCCACAAAGGCAGCAGGCATTAACAAGACCCCTCCATCCTTCAGTACACACAGGAGGACCCCCGCCCAGTGTAGTTAGGCAGATATTAATTAATTTCAAGAACTTTGCTA